TAAAGTTCTTATTGCCAGTAACGAAGCATTAGGAGAGGCATTTCAATCTTGGGGGGAAAGGAGGAAAAAGCAACACAAACCTGGGAAAGAACCATAAGAGCCTGAGAGTCCCCACAAGACTTTAAAGCAAGTGGCTACAGTCTGCAGCAGAATGCTGAGAGTTATACTCCAACAGTGCAAGGGCAGCACGTTAGGGAAACCTAATCTGGAGGGAGAACATCCTGCATACCTAATATCCATGTTAGATCAAACTTGTATCCATGCTAGATCCAAACCTTGTGTAACATCAAATCATGTTATATCAAACCAATTCAGAAGCGAAAGAAGGACACATGAAATGAAGCATCTGCATGAAATCGGGAAGAATTTTTGTTCACTTCAGCTCAGATAAGATACAAGGCATCCATTAGTGCTTCCAGCAATATTTCACAATCCACGTTTGACAGATGCCTGGAGTAGCTCGACTGACTACTTACTACATTTTGCAAAAAATATGTGACTTCACATTTTCCTATACAGATTCCACTCTAGTTAGCACAGAACAACACAAGAGACTCACACTAAGGATCCATTACTGAATTGCACCAATCTACTTTTGCTCAGTGTTAAGAGATAATTTATTATGTTGTTCAGCATTACAGAATTGTGGTACTGGAATTTCCATTGATCAGTGTTTTGTATCTTGCTTTGAATACTGTTACCTATTCCAGAAAACTTTACATGGATGCTATTTGATCATATTATCGTATTTGTCACTGACTTATAAAGAGAGGAGGATTTTATGTTTAGGGTACATGACATTGTTTACAATTACCTGGTCAGATTGTGCTACTGCACAACAAAGACTAATCAACTAACTGTAGATGTTGTGTGTGTGTGTGTGTGTGGAGAGGGAATCATTATTTAAAATAAAGAAAACTCCCTACATGTAGAAAACAAGCATGTCAGGGTAAAGGCTACTCTAGAATTTCCCTCTCAAGTGTGCAGGGCAGTTTTCTTTTTGAATGAGAAGATCATTCAAGCATTTGGTTTCCATGTGCAATTTGGAATAGTGCATGTTGGTGCCATCATGAAGAATATGCACCTTTATGGGCTTGTACAAGCAGTCCATGTGGCTAATACTTACAAGTATTCATCTCTATAAATGTATCGCCACTGGAATGGCCATAGCTTGTTGTGCCACATTTAAAAGCAAAAACAGCAAACACAGAGACAATAATTTAAGTGACAAGGTACCAGACAAGAGACATCACCGGCTCAGCACATGTCACTTCATTTTGCACCATCCAGTTGTGCTTTTCAGCTTAGGAACAAGTGTTGAACCTCGTTCAACTACATTAAATTTTGGCTAAATTCATTTTTGAAGAAGCTCTTGGAACCACATTACAGTGGTGGTGAGGACCACTATCAAGGGACCAAAGTTGAAAAGAATGTAGCCAAAATACCAGAAGCATTGCCATGTTTTGAGGTAAGTTTCTTATGGGCAGTAACTAAGCCTTTGGAAGGGCATTTCTGTCTCTTAGAATGAAGAAAAAAAATGCATAAAACCAAAATAGGAAACCAAATATTGGGTAGCTGGGGAAAGGGAGCATGGAAATTCAGGAACGCAGAGGGGTTGCCCCAAAGGCCTGAGGATCAACACCCCTGCTATAAAGACACTTGGGGAAAATGTTTGAGCCACTTGGTGCGACAGCCAGACTCTTAATCATAAGCGAAAGATTTAAGGTTGCAAGAGCAAGCATGATCGCCAGGAATGAAGTCCTATCGCACACTACGAGGAGCTATTAGCTACTGGACAACACTCGCTTGGGATGAAGTCCGGGAGAAACAGCTTGGCATTTGGAGTGCAGCCAGTGAAGGAGATAGCAGTGAAGTGTGAGCTTTATGGCTGGTTGGCAGGAGGGAACTGAGACTGGGTGGGAGAGTCCCAAGAGCATGCTGTTTGTTTTTGGAGAACTGATACTCCTTTAAAAGGCTAGCATTGCTCAGTGGGGATGCCAAATGACACGTGATGCAGGGCATCCATGGCTATGCCTGCCCAAGGTTTCATTTTTACTTTAAAGCATGCCTAGGGGCTCCCAAATGTGATCAGAGATATAGCGCTGCTTAACCAAAAAAAAACCCTTTCTCTGAATAAAGTCACCCTGCAGAAGCTGCTATTAGCCACACAGCAGGAAAAAGAACACAGGTGCAGAAAATTCCAACATGCAATCCCTGACCTGAAATCTGAATGACACAGTCCCAGAAACACTTTGCACATGATTTGCATGCAGGTGTATCTGGGATCCAGAGAGTCCAATGTATTTAGATACCAGGGATGTATCTGGAATTGAGGTGTGCCTAAGTCTTCTGGGTTCGTTTCATTTATAATCCATACCGTCACTGGGCTTAAATGGAAGATGTGCATTAGTCAAACCCATAGGGTACAATTCACTCCACAGCTATGGCAAAACCATTCCTCTCTCAAGCTATATTAAGTCAGTCCTACCAAGTGTTTGTGACAATGCAACGGCTTGGCAGCCACTTTTACTCTTATTTACTTTATGCCGACTTAAATAGGCAGGTGCTAGCAATTTTACTTGGGGGTTCAAATGGTCACAAGCAAAGCACACAAATTTCACACCAGCTGAAGCAATGCTTGCCTATCTGCCCTCTCTTAACAGTTGACAGAGGAACAAGAGGGGACAAATAAAATCCAAAATGCAGCCAGAGCCTGCATAAAGCAGCCTCCTGCCTCCCATGGCTGAAATAGGAAAAGAACCAACTTGGTAGGTGATCAGTGTAATCATTATGGGTACTGGGTTCCTGCCACTAAGTTCATGACTGAGACTCCAATTTGATGAGACATCCATACAGTGAGCCAAAGTATCATTACAGCTGAAATGCTCCGCTCTACCTGAACTTACCTCAGTTTTATTTCTTATGAACCAAAACAATTGAAGCAAGCTCTCACTTCCTCGTGGCCCCCAGCACAGCCTGGGAAGGAAAGGGCTGTGCTCCATGGCCCAAGGAGGTTTTCCCTTCTCTATCCCTGTCCTTACAATGGGCAAACTTCACCCATGTTTGTAGTCTCTACCCTCTCCAAGACAGGAATGAAAAAGAATTCCGTTTCACAGTCAAAAAAAGGGTTTCCAAAGTACGGGCCTGTTGTTTCAACTCGGCCCTAACCAAAGAAAAGGACAAGAAAATCTTTCCTAAATTCCTATGAATCATTCCCTGAGAACATAATCATGCCATTCACTCCTAATACTGTAGAACTCCTATATGCAATTTGTTTAAAATGTCCCATCTTTTCACCCAATAGGTTCTTCAAGACAGCTAAATATCAGTACTTTAAATAAAGCCCTATAGAAGTATAACAAAACAATAGAAAGCACGGGAGTGATACCTGAATGCTTTTTTCAAGGTTTTCCCTTGAAGCCCAGCAGCGAGGGAGCCAGGTGAGCCTTCCTTAAGAGTCCCATGAAGTTAGAATACAATTGGAGTAGAGTTAACATGCCTGGCACATTCTGGATCACATGCAGCTTCCAGATGCTTTTCAAAAGGTAGCTTAGTTCAGAGTGCATTATGGTAGTCTACTCTACTCAGGCACAGATGACAGTGACCTGATCTCTTTTGATCCAGAGAGATCATAGAGTGTAACAGCAGTCTATGAGCACCCCCTTCTGAGACATTTCCTCTCTGAAGAATAGGAACTGCCACAAAGCAATCCCCCCAGTCCCAACACAGCAGGCTGAAAAAACTGAAAGGTTTCCAAGCGAATGTGATAAGTGAGTTCTGCAGGAACACCCAGAACCCTGTTGCGATTAATATTGAGACTAAGTCAGAACGCAAGACAGCTTATCTGCAAAGCACTTTGCAGTTTGGTCAAAGAGCTTTCTAGGTTTTCTGTGAGATGGTGCGCCAGTCGGTCGAATGACTTGATCTGCAGTGTGCCGACTGTATGCAAAAATGAGAACCCCAAGGTACAAGCATCACTGCGCATCAAGGCTGCTGTACTTTGACTGCCTCCACTACTGAGGATCTCACACTTGAGGCTACTGTGGCAGCCTTGATGTAGCTGTGGGGTTATGCCCAGTGCATGTGTGCAGGGGATATAACAGCATATATATCTGCAGGGGATGTAACAGCATAAAGTGTGTCCGCTTGCCACGTGTGTCTTTGCTCCTTCTATGCCTTGCTGATGAAGGAGCGTTGGCTGCATGCCACTCCATGTTCAGCTGGAATCAGCACTGCTGCTGTGGGTCTTGGGGGAAACAGCAAACAGAATGGCTATACTCTGTGTTGTTTAGAATGCCTTAATTTGTTCCTGACTTAACTGCTGGGTGTGCAGAGAAGGCTGGCTACACAGCATCAAAGTTATCCTGCCATTGGCCTGGCAGGCACCTTGAGTAGCCCGTAAGGAACCATTCTAATCACAGCTGGACCACTGAGCACCACAGCACTCTAGAGATCCTGGTCAACCAGCCCTTTACTAGTCCAAGTGGAAAACCCACGTTCTTCAACTGAGCTGCGGTGCAGGGCAGGAAATTCCCAATTCTGATGACCAGCTCTTAGACTCTGCCAGCTGACAGCTATTACCTGTCAGATTCTGTTCTGGCTCCACCCCTAATTCACCAAATTCCATTCTCGAATTCTCCCCCGTCCCCACCCATATATTTGTGAAACCAAGGTTGTCAGGCCTAAGGCACTAGGGCAATGGAAATGTTGAGACCTGCGCTAAAGCCATTTGAAAGATCCTGGCATTATTCTATAGCTGCTTCGCCACTCTGGTGCCCCCAAATGTGTGGAACTACAAATCCCAGCATCTTCCAGAAAGTCTCAGGGGTGCTGGGAGTTGTAGTTGAGAACATCAGGCTAAGGAATGCTCCTCTGAAGCATTATGTATATTAATTAAAAACTGTATCCAAGGAATCAGACAATGATTATGAGCACTGCAACCTACAAACACTGCAGATCATAGCAGAGGGAAACCATAATTGCATGTAGCCTTTCCTTACCTCAAATATGTTTGATGATTCATTGGCATACTGGTTAGATATGATCTCCGATTGGTCACTGTACCACTTGAGTCCACCCAGAAAGCTGTCTGCATCCAAATCATTCACATCTAATTCAGAAAGGTCAAGTTCTGGAAGATCTGGGCAAAGAGGCTGGTCTTCGCCTACCAGAGCAGCACACTGGGGAGGAGGGGGAGAAAAAAGATACAGAAATGCTTTCATTAATTAGAGGAACCTGAGACTAACAAAAGCACGTGAGAAGAATTATCTCTCTGTTAACTCACTTACACCCCTTGGCAGGTCATGGGAGTTAACTTCATTTTGGGGAAGAAAATGCTGACTTAGATCAAGAAGCTTGGCACAAGGGTGTGTGTGTGTGTGAGAAAGAGAGAGCGTGCATGCGAGCATGTGTGTGTAGACACACACACCAGCTTGCCTGAAGGGAAAGAAGCTGACCTTTGCTTTCTAAATCACCATCCTGTGCTGGGAACAATCACTGTTTTTTCACTTGCATTCCATGAAGTGCAGAAGTCTTTTTTAAAAAGAACAAGGAGGGCAGGCTGCCACTTCTGATTGCTCAGTTAAGCTGGAACTAGACATTCTTGGACAAGATCACAATAGCAAACAAAGTGAACAAGCCTGCACCTCTTTCTCTTCAGCAGCACCTCACTCTTCTGGAAGAGTGCATAACACTGCATTCTAGACATGGAAATTGTATACATGTCTAGCCAGGAATAAACCCTACTGACCCTAACCCTTATCTATTCTGGTGCTCACCAGATGGTCTCAACTTCAACTCCCATCAGCCAAAGCCATCATGAGCAATGGAAAGGGATGCTGGAGTTGTTACCCAAAATATCCAAAGGGCACCAAGTTATGGAAGGATGATGTACAGCAGGGATGGGAGACTTGTGGCCCTCCAGATTTTTGGGCCTACAATTTGCCCAATCCTGTATAAAGGATTTCAACCTACGGTGCCCTGACCCTACAAGTGGCAGCCGATAATGACAAACAAGGAGTGGGATGCCATGCCCTGCTGCACTTTCCAAACACACATATAGGAGACATTACCAAGAGAGCAGGTGGGGAGGAGGGAGCGAATCTGGAGTTGCTGTTTTCAGCAGCAACCATGCGTCTCTAGTAACATCTGGCCTTAGCATAAAGGGAGCCAGAAAGTAGCATGTGCTGTGGCTTAAAGCCTATGAAGAAATCAGCAGGAGACACAATGATGTGAAGTTGGCCACATTCGAACATACACCATCCACCTTTGCTTTCTCCCACCAAGCAGCTCTAAAATGATCAGCCCTGCCACCACTTTGAGTAAGCTACTATGGCAAAACAACTCTCATAATAAGCAGATTCTGAAAAATTTCGCATGGCACAAGGAAGCTGAGCACCTGCCAAGTAATGACCAAATATCTATAAATGTCACCTTCCATTTATGGATTCTCCCAATCTATGCAAGCTTCACTTTTAGGTTAGAAACAGTCTCTGAACAGAAAGCTGCTAGCCAATAGAAAACTGGTCTCAGGCCAAGTCAATAAACACCACTAATTGGTTTTTCATAGCTCATGCTCCAAGGCTCAGGATCTGAAAGACATTCTTCTAGCTTCACAACGATCTTGGAAGGCAGGACACTTGCTTTCCTTCATGGACCTGGAATAAGGAAAGGTACACTGAGGCGGCTCCCAGCTGTGGAGGATTGGGAACCCTGTTCTACATTGCCTGGCTACAGGCATGCAAGCCTGCAAGCATGCTTGGCACCTTTCCCCCTCCACTCTGCATACTCCTTCCCCTTCTGGATCTGCACCTGTTGCAGATCTTTGATATGCCCTTTCCTGCTGGAGCATTCAGCCTCTTCTTCACATTCCACCTAGGGCCTGCTTTAGATTCAGGAATAATGAGATGCAAACAGGGGTGCTATTTAGGGAGGGCAGCTTGTGCAGTCCATGTTTCAGGAAAGGTTAGATTTTCTACAGGCACAGGGACATACCTGGTTTTCATGTGCATATGTATATGTGCACGCACATGAATAGAATGAAACCAAATGATGCTCTTACATACACTACTTTTTCTGCAACTTAATCATTAACAGATCCAAGAGTGCCCTTTTGAAAAGTAAAAGACTGATAGTACAACACTGGAACAATAAAAACTTACCTCCTATAAAGCAATGAACTGAATACTTAATAATGCTTTCAATATTCAAGCAGATTACATACAGATGCCATTCTCAAATGGACACATATACAGATACTTGTTCTGCCTCTGTTGAAGTTCATTGGATTTATTTTGGATTTATGCCCCCCTTTTTAAAATTTATATATCTGTATTTGTTAATTCCAGCAGGGGTGCCTTTGTTTTTTTGTTTTGTGTGTTCATTTGTTTCATTTCGTTTTCTTTTGGTGAAATTCACAAGATAAGTTTTTTTTAATGCATATCCTGCTGGAATTAACAAATACAGTTAGTAAATTCAAAACCCATGACATGGGTTTTGTGTCACGGCCCCAATCCCTCTCAAAAGGTATTTGAAATGACACCCCAAGTACAAAGAGCTAACTTGGCTCAGGGTTGGTCCGAGGCACTTTTGTCATACAAAGGTCTGTACGGTTCTTTAGTGCTCCATGCAACTTCACAGAGAATGCCCACATACAACTCTTGGGTCACGCACTGTTTCTGTTGCACCCCTAAATGGTTGCCTTCCCAAGCAACTATTTGCATCACTAATCCAAGCTACATAGCCCTGACTGGGAATGGGTACTTAGGAGCCATGACAGTGGTTATAACAGTGCCTGGGAATAGAAGGTGCCAGATGCAGGATGCACATACAGCATTTGTCTACAGGTTCAACCAGCCCATGCAGCAAGTCTTCCCTGCAGTGCCTACCGCACAGACTACCCAAGGGAATGTTGCCTTGGCATCTTTCTATGGCTGCTCACACAATACTCCTAGTCATGCCTGCATCTTCCACTATATCAGGAGTGGGCAGCTTGGAAGCCAAAACAACTGGAGGGCTACCAGCTTCCCACCCCCGCACAACATGGATAGGCTGCTACCATGTATCACACTAGGGAAATCTTCACTGGCATTGGGTGGGGGGAGCTGTCATGGCATGCGAAACCCCCTTTAAATGTGAGAACATTTCTGGTTTATTGGGGGCAGTATGGGAATATCCAGGAACTTGCAGACGGGGCCAAAGTCCATGATTTAACTGTGGCATAAAAAAGATCTCTCAAGTTCCTAGCCTACAGTTTCACTGGGGAACATGTGAGCTACGATCAGATCGATAGCTTGCTCCCTGGCACCACTGGCTCAATATGTCAGCCAGCAGGACTGGAAAGACCTCTTCCTGAGACTCTGGGAAAGGGGCTAAGCTCCCCATGGGATTCGTTCTTGGTCACCAAACATGACATGGAGCCACTATATCTTCTCTTCAGAAAAATGCTTGAGAATGTGTGATTTTATTTTACTATAGGACCTGAAACCAGGATATCTGAATGAGTGTGTTCTCCCAGATGAGCCTGCCTGGCTTCTAAGGTCTTCGGGGGTGGGGGGGTCCCTTTCGGATACCTGGGTCCTTCTCACTGGCCACTCCCAGTTTCTGGAATTCCCTGCCAAGCGAGACCAGATTGGCTCTCTCTTTATTGTCCTTCTGCCTGCAGGAGAAGATGATTTTATTCAAGCATGCTTGTTTGCCATTTCTTTCTTTCTTTCGTTCTTTCTCTCTTTTATTGCCATTTTAACAGATTTGTTTTTATATTTTAATCAAAATTATGTTTTTATTATTGTTAGCTGACTTGAAAGCCATTTTTGGCAGAAAGTTGGGACATAAATATAACCCAGAAATAAATGCTGTTTAAATGCTATGATTTTCTTGTTGATCATGTGACGATCAACAAGGCTCTGGAAAATTTTCCTATGTTACACTTCCACATAGAAGGTCATTGCACAGCAAATCTTGTAATCAAAATACAGACTAATCTACAACACTAAGACCTTTAGGTAGTGATAGTCATTTATATTAAGACACACAGACCTTGGATACTAGTAATTAAGTCTTGTGTAAACCAGCCACCTCTTAAAGCAGGTGAAAGGAATTCAGGTCAATGGGTCTGGAATAAACAGTATGCTGGTATGCCAAACACATCAACAAAAAAGTCAATGTATTTCCTTAGATTTCTGATCCTCACAGACTTACCATATCAAAGTGACTGAAGATGCACATCTTCTGATGGTGCATCCAAAACTGAACACCAGTCAAGACCTGGTGTTGATGAGGCTGTAATTGCAGATTTTGATTTTTTTTAACTACATGGTCATAATACAGAGCATGGCCCAGACAAAGTTAAAGCTTCTGCACCCCTACTGACAGGACAAAGCTAGGTCTGCTGCCAGCTTTCTAACTGCAAAAGCTGGGACTTCACAGTGCTCAACTTTGGCTTTATCATGCCCACAATGTGGGCTAAGCCTTCATCCTCACCCCTTCTATGTTCCCCTTCTATGAATATTTTCATCTATGACATATATATTTTCATCTATGGGGTGCAGGGAACAATGTGGCACCAAAATGAATTAGGTTGAATTTATTCCTCGGTACCTATATAACAAATATGGCAATTATGTGGTAAAAAGCCAGGTGACAACAGAGTTCATGTGAGAACACAGGTTTCTATTTTGCCAACTTTATTCCTGCTCTCTGTATAAAAATGTTGCAGGCTGGCCAAACAAATAACACACCTAGATCGCAGATGCCATGGACTGTCAATCACCTACAGAAGTGGCATGGTTTCCTTGATTCATAAATCTTCCCCTTTCTTCCACGATGGAAGTCAGTTAAGGTGAGTGTATCAGTAACCCCAGCACGTGTGCGCACACGTACACATATCGCAAAGGCATGCATTCTTCAGCATCCGTCACGCCACATGCCAACGGTAAATACGGGTTTCTTGCTAGAGCTGGACTTCAGCAAAATAAACTTCCTAGAAACATTTGATGGGCAATCCCTCTAAGAGCAAATCCAGCGCTGCATATTCTGTGTGTGACAACCTAATCACAAAGCATGCTTAGGAAAAAAGAAACAGGGTCAAGACACTCAGAGGAGCTTGTGAAGGCTGCAATTTACCATTCCACTTTCCCTGGTCAAGCTGGACAATGCAGACAATCAGACAATCAGTGCAGAAAACAGGAAACTTGAGGGTTGGAAGGTGAGTTCTTGATGTACCAATTGCTTTATTCCTATTCTCTGAAAAAAGCTCTAACAGTCCAAGGCCTGAGATATTTGTGTACAAATGGAGGATACAGTGCTTGCAGTGAAGCTCAGAAGGAAAACACCAAGAAAACTGTAAAGCAAAGGTGCTATTGCAAACCAGCCATTAAATAAAAGTATCTTCCCCACCCATTTCCAGTTCTGAGTTTACCTTCCATCTGGAAATGTTCTAATACAAAGATGTCCTTTTCTCGGTACCTATACAAAATCTGTGATTTGTCGTTAAAGGATCATTTGGGTCTTTGCTTGAAAGCATTGCTCCCTGACTCTGTGTTGTGGCGGTCTGTGGCTTCAGAACTGATGCCCTGGACTTCCAAAATATCCTGCTGATCACTTTGCTACTTTGGTTTGTAAAAATAGACTCTCTCTTTCTCTGTGTGTGCACTGCCTGGCTGAATTCTCTCAATATGTACACTTAAATAAAAGGGCCTGCAGTGGCCATTTTGAAGCACTATAAGAAATAACTGTGTTCTTATTGGGTTGGGGGGAGGTTAAAAAGTCTTCTCTTTGCAGTTTGCATTTGCCTCCAACGACTGCAGTCACTTAAAAAAAAGTGAATAGCTGAAGTAAAGAACGTCCGCTCTTGCCAATGTTGACATGATAATAAAATCAATGCTTCTGGATATGGCACAACGCTTCTAATCTGAGACACATTAGTAGCAAGTGTTCCTGTTATTAATCTATATTTGGCCTTTGAACGATGCCAGGTTTAACACTCCAAGTCCTATAACTGTCCTCATCTGACTCGTAGATATTTGGCGTTTGCCTATACATCTTGAACAGGTGCACTTTCCATGCAATGTCACTTTTTTGCTTTTCTTTTTACAGCTCACAGCTTATGGTCGTGATTACACAACTGGACTCTTAATTTTGTAATAAGCTTTAAGGGGATAAAGCAACCACTAAACACAAAGGGTAATTATTGTGTCTTTCTTGGCCCTAGATCATTCCCATCCACCCCTCCAAATGCTTAGTTAAAGAGCAAACAATAAATTAGCTTAACTGCATCAGTGATAATGAATCATCATAATTAAGCATCATTCTCCATTAACCTTTTTGGATGCTCATATGCTTTTGAAAGTAATTTTTAAAACAAAATAATTTGGGAGTGGGGGGAACTGGAGTCATGTCATTTAAATGGCATTAATGAAAACAATAATCTGTATTTAACAAGCTTGTTTCAAAGAGACAGGGGAGTGGGGTGGCTGGGAGAAGATCCCGGACATGGACAATATGCTTAAAGCAAACAAGCACCATGTGGATCCTCCTTATCAATCTTTGCAGCCTCGTCGTACATTACCTTCATTAAACAGAGAAACGCTGTGGGACGCTGATCAGCTACTGTGATGTGCAGGCCTTTATTAAGTAGCCTGCAATCTCATTGTTGTGAGCAAGAGGATAGCAAGTATTTCATGTTGGAAGTAAATTTTGAGGATTGTTTTTTTAAAGCTGCGTTTCCGTACATGGTGCCAGTAGTTCTTAAGAATGAGAATGGGAGATTCCCCAGGGCAGCAGCAATAGCATGCAGCAGGTAATCTAGTGCTGCACAGAGGGCTCGGCGCATGCCACTTGAAGAAAGTGTTCTAAAATAGCCATCTGATCTGCCACGAAAATCAGAAAGGCCCCTTTCTTCCTTCCTTCTTTCCTTCCACCAAACAAGCAAACGACAATGATCACTCCTCACTGGCATAAATTATATTTTCTTGTTACAAGCCTGAAATTCCTGCAGGAACACTGGTGATTAAAATAGATCATCACCATTTCCACAGACACTGGTTCCTCAAATAAGCTCCTAGCAGCATTAGGAATAATGCATGATGGAAAAAACTAAGCCACAGCAGCTGAGACCCATGCAACAAAAACGAAGATGACAATCCACTGGATACTCCCAGCTACTCAAAAACAAATTAGGACTTCTGGAGCCAGCAAGTCACTCACTTACCGCCTTGACTCATAATAGCTACAGGATGTATGAATTATCCATATCTATTCCACTTCAGTAAGGAGTCAAAACAAGAGATGAGCAATTACAATATGCAAACAGAAGACAGCGGATGAGGTGCAAATATTTTAAACTGGGTTTTAGCAGAAAAAAATGATGCTCTGATCTTTGCCTCCTGCCTTGAGAAAATAATAAAAAAAATCTGTGCAGAAAATACAAGATGCTTCTACTCAAGAATATGTACCTGTGCATCATCTCTGTACAACATCTCTGATTTTTAAAGCAACACACACATGCCGACAAGATCACCGGTAGCTCCCCCCGCCTGCCAAGGGGAGCATTAAGATACCAGTCCTAGAACACACTTATGTGAGAGTAATCCCCACTAAAGGCAAAGGGATTTACTTCTGATGTGTAGGACTGGCCTTCAAAAGTACCTGTAATTTGGGGCTCTGTTTTGTGAGTAATCACGAAAAAAGTTTCCCCAAGTTACAAGAACTTTTAAACAGCGCACCATTTTAATCTTGATGACTTTGGGGGCTGGTTTTGCTGACTGCACACATTTAGACACCCTCATGCCTCCACTCTTACAATCCAGAGGTTCATAGCTGCTTATTCTCTTCCCCATCCCTGCTTTCACTCACCCCCCTTTTCTAAATTGTAGCCAGCAGAAACTGCAGTTTTGATGTATTGCCATCTATTTTTACTCAAGCATTGGTAGCAGCAGCAAGCACCACAAGATCTTGCATAAATATCAACTCTATTCTCCAGCTCAGTCCTGTTGTCTCAGCTGCACAGCACCACTTTGCCATCTGAATGAATGGGACCCCTTAACCCAGCAGAAGCACCAGGGCATCTCTTTCCAAATATTCCAGTAGAAAGGCCACATTGCCACAATTCAACCACATGAAGCCATCCCTCTCCATACAGAAGCATCTCTGCTCTGCAGCTCATCATGTTCTACAAATGTAAATCCACAATTTTCTTTGTGTGGGGGGGGGAATAAGTTTAAGAAGATGAACGTCTCAGACAACACACACACACCCGCACGCACGGCCCTTCTCCAACCATCCCACTAAATGCCACTGGAAAGACTTCAGACACCAATTCATATCAATATCTCGGAGCATAAATATTGCATATGACTGGAAAGGGAGCCAAAAGCAAATAAAAATAGTTTCCAACTGCAGGAGATCCCGATGACAGGAGCCAGGGATTTGGTTTGCTTGCTTGTTTTTATTTTTTTATTTGCTCAAGGAACCGAAGAGTAATCTTTAAATAGACAGGGGCAGGCAAAGAAAAAAAAAAAAACTTACAGGATTAAAGATAAGATGCAGGCTTGCTTTCATTCCAAAGGGGCTCTTCTAGCTACTTTCACTATTATCCCAGTTTAAAAAAAAAAGATTCAAAGCAACAGAAGCAAAAAGAAGAAAGGCAGACAGAAAGAGCGAGCGAGCGAGCGAGCAGCATCTAAGGAAACAACCCCTCCGGCTGGGTGAATTTGCACAAAACGATCGATCGTTCCCACAAGCTCACCTCGATGTCACTCCATACAGAGTCCTGATTGCACATGTCCCACGCCATCCAGCTCCTGAATGACGGCAGCAAAGCTTTGAAACTACAATCCACAGCCGGAGAGGGAGAGCAAATATACTCGCACGCAGCCAACCAGTCCCTTACTGAAAGTGAACTGAAGGCACCTGTCTTACTACTGTTCCCAGTCACATGACAAAGCTATTAAAAAGTAGGCTGGCCTGTCACTCACCCAGCCGCCTGCTCTTGTGCCGCTGTGTGTGCTACGGCCAAGTGACGTCACGCATAGAGGCAGATCTCGGCTGGAGTGAAGTCAAGCCAAACACGCGCGAGCAAACGCACACATACACACACACGCGCGCAGCGCGAGCGGAGAGCCGCGAGCTTCAGCACCTCCCTGTGATTCAAAAAAGGATCTGCCCGCCCTCGTGTGCCACACCTCCAGGACTGGACTGTTGCGAGGAAATTAGTGCGTGCGTGTGAGTGTGTGTGTGTGCGCGCGCACGTGCGCGCGCGGGCGGGCGCCTGTATGTCTGTGCGCGCTTGTTCGTGTGCATGTGCGTTTGGGTAAATCTGTATGTTCCTTTCCCGCCCCGATCCATTCTTCTCTTTCCCAAACAATCCGTAAGGACAAAGGGTTATTTCTTTCCAAAGTGGGGGAAAGGGCAGAAATATGTGCTCTGACTAGATGTACCTTTTGTGCTTTAAACTCTCAACTTTGAACACGGGGTTGAGCCGATCCCGAACATACGCAAGTGAGGGAAAATCGACTGGTGGTGCGGGGGCGGAAATCATGAGCCTGACCTCGTACTAAATGATTTGCAGCGCTTAAGTGTTGGGCACGGGCCAAAAGATCATGGAAAACTAAGCCTCCTGGTGCTAGGATAGGAACTGCCTAGCAGCATCAGACACAGGTCCAGCTAGTGCGCTATTCCCCAAGCAGCAAAACCCGGGCCATGGCGCCTGGTTACTTGTAGCCAAGTCCCTGGAAGCGCAGTGAGCTCCCTCGCAAGGAAGCATGGGTAGGGCTGTAGCCTCGGCAGCTCACAAGCTGCCAGTGCCTCGGTCGCCTGTTGACGCCATTCAGAGATACACTGCTCCTAAACGCGGAGCTTCACTCCATTGTCATGAGCAGCAGCAGCAGCAGCTCCTCATAGCCGCATCCTTTATGACTCATTCAGTAAAAATGACATTTGTAAAAGTACAAGCTAAAATGGTATGTTAGCAATCCAGTGCTGAATGGATGGGGTGGGGTGCGAGGGGCTGTACAACAAATACATTACAAACAAATAGCTGCTACCAATGTTACATTTTTAATCCCTTTCTACCATATGTTCTAAACAAGATTGCTCAGACTGAATTTATTGAAAGGAGGACAAAAAGGAAGCTCACATTTTTGCCTGTTTCTTTCACTGTTTTTCAAGTGGGCACTCCTGAAAGTCAGTGTTGTTATATACAACTACTTCTGTCGTTTGGTCACTCACAGTTTAAATTTCTGTCTGAATCTTCAGTTCAGCACTGTTGTTTTAGGGCACATTTTTGTATAAACAGCATTCTATCCTCCTAGCCCTTGCTTCTAATATGGGCTATGCATTTTCTTAGGGAGGGCAGCACACACACTCCCAACATCATTAGGCACTCAAAAGATTGTTTTCCCCTTACAGCATGATACAGGTGCATCTGTTTTATGATAACATGACCAAATGAACACATAACAAACCAAAGGCACTGTTCCCACAACAGGAAAAACAGGACTTTTTTCACCACCTGCGTCTTAAATTTCTTTTCTTTCCTTGTTTTAAGATTAAAAGCTATACTTTTAATTAGCTGTGTGCCACAGTCTCTCTTACAAATTCTAAATGCAAGATCAGTCATGCTGTGCTACGAGTTAGAGTCACACTACCATAATGGATCATGCCTCTTTGTAATGAAATATTCATTTGGATTGTCATTTGCAAATTTGAGTATTCTAAATGCTAAATGAATACAATTATTATCCAGCGACAGAGCTGAATTGACAGACAAGAGGCGGCAATTCTTGAAATAGTCATTTTTTCTTCCTCTGGATTCTATGTCCATTCAAAATGTGACTCAAGCAGCAAGTAAATGTTTAACCATTTACTATCTTTTTTTACCCATTCCTACTACTTTGCTGATAGATATGAGTAAAGCAACTAACATACAGTGCCCCTTGCTTCTATTTATATCACAAATCCCATCATGCTGTTATATTTTCACCAAAACTGAATGATAAAAAAATGTTTTTCCCTTACTCAGTCTAACAAAAAAGCACAATACACTATGAATCCAGCCTAGCTGTACAGAAAGGTGATTAAATGAATGGTATATCTTTGTTCTTGTTATGAAATAAAGTAAATTTGTTCCAAATTATATGCTGATTTAATGATAAAACAGTAGTACACTATTAAGATCTGGAGCAAAAGGTTGCTACCTCTGCCCTTAGAAGGCTCATCTGTGAAGTAATGTTCTGCAGCTGACTGGCGGAAATGGAGTAGTTTTTTATTAATAATTATCAGTGGTTCCACGCTTGGTGAAATAGTCTTCTGCCATACATGCTTATAATTGTGTTCACCGACTGTACCAAATCCATCACTTTTATTTTTAAGTTCCATTCACACCTTTTAAAGAATTGTATTTATACTGCAACATCTTAGATTGCTGTTGGAGGGGGGGAGTGGTATTTCGACCTGCCCATGTTGTTTTCTATTTTCTACAATTCCACTTCACTGCTTTTCTGTCAAATTAGCAAGTTAAGTGACAAATAGGTAACTGCAAACTTAGAAGTGCTTCAGAATGATGGGGAAAAATTTACCTAGTGCGTCCATTTTCAAGTAATATCACACAGTACAACAAAGGCTGTAAGCAACCTAGGATTTTTCTATTGAGTCATCCCACTTTACAGCTCATACTGCATTAGAGTTTTCAAGAACTCATATCAAAGTTCTGTCCAAAAAGTATGTATTGATGCCTGCAGAAATACAGATAACCAACTGCAGCAAAAGTTCCTAATGCAAAGGCTTCCCTCATTTTTTTAAACAACCACTTAATTGAAATGTGAGTATCATAAATAATTTTATCGTGAAGTCTCTATAACACTTCCCGAATACTTTGCTCTTCTCGTTGATCCAATAATAAAAAGTGGGAACAAAGCAGAGAATAAGAATGTATGACTTTACTGAAAAATCCTAATTGAAAATGTTTTGACCTTTTACCCTGGGTTCGACATCACTGAATTTCTTTACACTTGATCAATGTGATATGTGAAATAGTTCCATTGTAAAAGCTCGCATTTAAATTTTTTATTTATTAATTTTTTATCCAACCTATCCTCCCTGCTTTATTCTCACAGCAGTCCTATGAAGGAGATTAGGCTGACAGATAATGACAGGCAAACGCCACGCAGCAAGTTTAATGAAAGGGCAGGGTCTGAACCTAAATTTGTCCATCCCTAGTCTAACTCTTTAATTACTACACTACACTATTGGCTCTTTTTGGAGGGGCTCCAAATGTGGTGTTTAACTGCACAAAAATAAACTGCACCGTAATACATTTATTCCTTTAATTGTCCATCAGATGCTGATGGAACTTTTGCCTAATTCTGCTATATCAAATAAACTCATAACAGCAAAACATCAAAAGTAAAAAAGAAACGCAAAACCTGGTAGCCGACTCTTAAAAACATACATTCCAGTTCGTTCTAGGCTGCTATTGTACTGTATACACTCTTACAAGATTGCACTGTTCATCTAATTTTGCCTTTATTTCCTCTATTTGATCATAAACTTTCAGGTAGGGCTATGGTTTTACATAAAATTAATTGGGTACAGTTCCTAGAGTTAGTAAATATTTACTAAGAGTAAAAATGTGTATCATTGTGACTTTGTGGTATTTTTAGTTCCTGAAAAATTAAGTTTGCAGAAGAGAAGATAGTTTGAATGAATCCTTTCCTGCAGTATCTGCTAGGCAAGGGACCCTGCCCTGCTTACCACTCACATGACTCACAGGATAGTGTGGAAATACACATGGTCATTCTTTCTTCAGCTCCTGATTCTCAGTTTCTGTCCAGCCAATGCCAGCTAATCTCTCACATGCAAGAACTAGAAATGTGATTCTTTAGCCATTGTTGTGGTTACAAGACTGGCAACAGTACTGCGGTGGGCACGATTTTGAATGCTGTACATTCTGAACACACCTTATCCGATGTTTGACAGAAAGAAGTTCGGCTTCTGGTTTTAAGGTTCCTCTCCTCATTATTGGAGAAAGAAAATGTGGAGACAGTGATCACTTAAATCCAAGAGGCAAAGCTGTATGATGAGTAAAGGGCAGCAGAACTTCACTGAAAAGCTAGGTTAGCAGAAATGGATGTCCTATATACAGTGTATTTACTGTATTAATTTTTTATTAGGAAATTCACTGTTCCTCTCTTGTCTGCTTCATGTCTTTCTTTCTTTTGCACTCAGACCTTCTGTTCTGCTGCATTTCTGCACTGTTGAGCTTTTTTCTTTACACCCTCAGTTACCTCTCTGACCAAAACTCTTCACACCCCTCCACATTCAAGTATAACATGAAACCATGTTTGTGGTGCAGGCCATGTGTTTCAGCTTTTTTTTTTTACAGAACAGCAGAGCTAAGAAATGAAATCTTGCTGGCTGTCAGGTGCACATTATATTCCTTCCTAGAGCAGCCCTGTACGCTTTATCATGAACAAATCAAGCTGGGCAGCAGAATCCATAGGGGCACTGTTTGTCTGCTCTGTTTCCTTCTCTGTGAGACTTAAACATTTGAAAGTGCTGCATTTAACTCTTTACAGCTGTACATGGCTTAGCACCAGGGTGTCTAAAGAATCACATGTTTCTATATGTACCAACTTGTACCTTAAATGGGGGCCTCCTATGGGTGGTCCACTGTCAGAGGTGAGGCAACTGACTGTGAGAAAGGCGAAGGGGGAGAGAGATTTCTTCGTGGGGGTATCCTTCCTCAAAGAAGTTTGCTTGGTGCCTATACTGCTTTTGTTGTCTTCTCATTTATTACTTTCATATTTCCATTTACATTATTTTGTGGGCACTGCAGTCCTTTGGCCACTGCACAGATTCTAGGCAGCTGCAGAATTTTGTGGAGGCTTGGGTGCAACATCAGAAACGCGCTCCAAGGTTGGAGCTGGGACTC